TGATACATTTTTATACATGTTTGATAGACCTGGGTAGGTGACATATGGCGGTAGACCTCACGCTATAGTAGCACCATAAAATCTTCCTAAATCCATAGACAAATCTTTAGTAAAAAATAGACTATTTAAAATTCTTATGTTTATATTAACAGATTTGTAATTTTTACTAAAAGCTTGCCAAATATTATGAAGATGCATTTTGTCATGATATAAAATGTTTTGTTCAGATATTGATTAATTTAGTTTTGTGAATGAATGTTTTATTGTTGTTTAGTTTTTGTTATAATAAGAGTTAAAAGCAAATAATTGTAGGAAATTGTGTTAATAATTCATTGATATTGAAAATATCAGTCACATGCAATATATTGACGTTGAGAATATAGAAGGCAGACAGACAATTAGGTGATAAAGATATAAATAGCGTGATACAAGTGGGAAACAGCAGACAGATAATAGCAAAAGAGAATAAAGTTGGTATGAAGTTAACTACTGTAGAAGCGATAGGCCGAACGTTTAGTATTTTAGTGAAACTAACAGTAGAAAAGAAGATAACACAAATAATTTTATTCCATCAAAGCGTGGTCCTAAAGTAATTGAATCAGCCTGAGTGTACTTTGACAAAAGGAACAGAAGACAGTAACTTGTGCTACAATTGTAAGTGAATCACAGAGAATACTAGTGCAATAGAAATAGATAAAATAGTTCGGCTTCTCAACTGAAAGTCTAAAGTAATTGAATAGGCCTAATTCGATATTTGACAAGAAGGAGAGAACTACGGATATAGTATTTATGATGTGTCCATAATATCTATATGGAGTGTATGAAACAAAATAATTTTTTTAGGTTTTATATACATTTCAATAACTAAAAAATAATAAATTACTACATTAATACCATAGAATTCAACTATAATTTATCAAGCTGAGTAACTAAGATATATTTTAGCCTAAAAGATATGAAATTTCGAGCAGACTAAAGACACACCCTATCTCCTTGAAATATTGGTTCAAACGAAAGATATTGGTGTTCAAGCCCATTAAAATGGCTTTTCAACTGAAAGTCTAAAGTAATTGAATAGGCCTAATTCGATATTTGACAAGAAGGAGAGAACTACGTATATAGTATTTATGATGTGTCCATAATATCTATATGGAGTGTATGAAACAAAATAATTTTTTTAGGTTTTATATACATTTCAATAACTAAAAAATAATAAATTACTACATTAATACCATAGAATTCAACTATAATTTATAAAGCTGAGTAACTAAGATATATTTTAGCCTAAAAGATATGAAATTTCGAGCAGACTAAAGACACACCCTACCTCCTTGAAATATTGGTTCAAAAGAAAGATATTGGTGTTCAAGCCCATTAAAATGGCTGAGAAAGACACTAGGATGACATTCTGAATTTTCAATTGGTTATTCATGTCATGTATAGAAGTAAGTGTATATAAGGGCGTGTTTCCAAAAATGGAAAGGTGGGCAGGGTGCTACTGTGTTTGATTTATTACATGAGCAATATCTTAGCAAATAGAAAATATAAGACATTCTTATTTTATATTCTAGCTTGTCAATATCGGTAATTTTAATTTCTAATTCATACAAAACTATAGACTTAGTATTTTGACTTCATAAACATCTAATTTGAACCAGTGCTGCATTCAACATACCATGTGACACACAAAAATTGATGTTTATCTGTGTTTTTTTAATATTTACTTTTCAATTAAGAAATTGAGTAATGTATGGTACTTAAATTTGAATTATAATCTACAGTTTCATATCAGACTTGTTAACATAAATTCATGAAACAGTTGTTCAATAAAATAAGCTGTTAGAAAACAATTTTGATCATATTGCTTACAATCAGTGCAACAGTAAACATGCTTTACACACGGTTAGGTTCAGAATGAATTGCCACAAGCAACAAAAAGAAATACTTAAGTTTTTCTATCAATGCCTTGCTTTGCATATCACAGTTTTGAATATTTTCGCATACAACCCATAGAATTCACAGAGTATGAAGATTTGGATAGTTTACATGATAAAATTATGGTAAGAGAAGATTACTGTATGATAAGGCTAGTTACACTTACAGTTTACTACTAATTTTCATAATGGTGAAGTTAAAAATGACTGTTTTTCAAGACTAACAATTTTAAAATCTTACAATAATGTAACTTGGAAAAATGGATAGACAGATGTAAAGCAAGTACATGATATTATTACTAATAGTGTTGTATTACACTTAGCTGAGCAAATTTTCTCTCATGGTAGCTCTACATTATTTTTCAGGTTATGGTTATTCAGTCAGTTAAAAATATTTCCCTAAAGGTGCAAATATTTAAAATGTTTATAAGAAAGTTTTATAAAGAACTTTTCCAATATGAATTCGATAGTCCTTAGTTTTAGACTATGACTTGAAATAACACAACTCTATTATATTTTGTTGAATTTTGACACTTTCTTACTAACAAAGTAATATCATTTGAAAAAATGTTTGTTCATTGAAATTGTACACAACAAATAATTAGTAAATCACTCAAAGTTATACATAAATCATGTAGAAAAAGAACTTTAAAGAATGGATAATAGACTTGAAGTCATAATCAGTAAATGCATAATGTTCTGAAATTCAGTATTAACAACAATGAACATTATGAATAAGAAAAGTTATGAAATATATAGACGAAGAGAAACAAAAACAGTTACGTGTAGAGTTACTGAGGGCAACTCTTATGAAAGCATTTTATTTTCTTTGTGTATGTTATCAAAGATTAACAAATAATCTTTTATTGTTGCAAATTTCTTAAATTTTGATTTTCACAATGCTGTAGTAGCATTGAAAATTTTCAAAGCCTATTTGTATTGTTTATATTGTTTTATGCTAATAAAAAAATTTAGCATTTTTATATTAATGCATGTGCAATAAGTATGTTTGAACATGTTTTTATTTGAGTTTTAAATAGGATTACAGTGTAATGTTTTACAATATTGTTTACAAATT